TAGAGCAAGGTAGAGGGTGTAGGGATGAGCTGCCAACTAATGATATTGACAATTTAAAATAATGTTTTAGTTAATGAGCATGAGTTCTGCATCTAGTTGCCAAAATGTAGAAATGCAGACCACATGTAGCATCATTCAGACCATGGGAAACTTCACAAGTCAATAACCCAGGTACTTCAACAGAAATATGGTAAGGAAAAAGAAGGGCTAGAGGGAAAGCTATATATGAAAAAACACAAGTTCTTAAAAAGTGAATTAAAGACTAAATTTGTGTTTAATAAGAACCTAGGGATGCACAGCTAGATGCTAAAACCATAAGGAAACAAAAGCAAGTTATTAGTATAAAGTAGGGGAGTGATTAATTTGGGGGTGTCAAGACTGGAAGGGGTCCCATGTAGGGCTCCTGGGGTAGGTGGCAAAGTTCTATTTCTTGACCTGGATGATGGGTACAAGAGTACAATGTGTGCCTTATAATAATGCATGAAGCTATACGTTTTTTTCTTTACTTTTTAATTTTACAATAAAAAGGTTAAAATGCTTTTAATTAGTTACCAATAATTAAATCTTGGAAGACAGCACATTTAAAAATCCGTATTTCTGCCTTTTCTTGAAAAAAATCACAAGATTTGGCAACGCTGGGTCCATGTTTCCTTACGGTAACTGGCTGGACCTGAGAAAGGGCTGCTTCCCCTCTCACTAAAGCTTGGCCTCTCTGGGCATTTAGGTGACCTGCTGGGCACCTGTAGACCTGTGAAGTTGTGACCAGAGGTGGAGAAAAATCTGCTCTGTCCTATGCCTTTCATTGGCAAGTTTCTTATATGTAGCACATACATTCTATAGAAAATAATTCCACTTATATTTCTCAAGCACATGCTCCGGAGCTCCATGCTAGGACCTGTTCTGTCCCTCCTGGTCCAGAAGCCTCCAATCTAGAGAGAAAAATAGAGGTCAAAATTAATCTGAGTGAGGATCTAGGGAGACTTCTTGGAGGATGTGAAATGACTTGGGCCTTGGAAAATGACTGGGATGAGGATGGGGCATGGAGGGAAGAAAAAGCTTAACAGAAAGAAGGGAAGACCTGAACTCCGGAACAGCGCTGGAGGCTCATAGAGCAGAACGTTTGGATTGGATTTCAGTGCTGGTGAATAATGAAGATGAGCGATGAGGAACAAGATGCTGTTGACTTGTCATGTGACTTGAACAACAGTGATGCCATTGAAAAGTTGGGAGGACAAATTTTATAGACAGGATGACTTTAAGCATCAATCACGTGGCGATGTTTAGCCATATGGAGCCTGAGAGAGAGAGAGAGTCAGATGGAGACCAAGGGAGTCATAGAATCACTAACTAAAGCCTTGGGGAAAGAAAAAGTATAGATGAGGAAGAGTGTAAGGTCATGTTTAATTCTGTGGACAAACCAATACTTAAAGGATAGAAGAAGCAGAGCCAGAGAAAAAGATGAGCGTGAAGAGAAGAGGAAAAATTGGGACAAGGGGAAACTCTGGAATGATAACCAAAGAAGTGACAGGTGGATGAGAGGGGAGGCTTTTTAAGATGAGGGAGGACAGATCTTGTCTACTTGCGTAGTTGGATAAAAAAGGGAAATTTGTACAACCATGAGAGTTAGCCATTTTTTCTCCTAACTAAGCAATGTCCTTTATTGTTAATGCTGATTTTCTTTAAATTTAAAAATAATTCAGGGCCGGCCAAGTGGCTCAGTTGGTTAAGAGCTCATGTGAGCTCTGAGCAACAGCGGTTCGAGTCCTGGCCTGAGCTCAGCTGCTGCTGAGCTGCCAACTGGTGGCAGGCTGGCTCAGCTAAAAATAAATAAATAAATAAATAAATAAATAAATAAATAAATAATTTTAAAACAATTGCACTATTTTAGATGTATCTTTACATCCTGATTTATATTTTTAATTCATTTTGATGGATTATCTTTTACATTCTGTGTCAATAGAGGTGTAAAGTCCTCAAGAGGAGTTGAGAAGAGACGACCAGTAGCCACCATTTTATCATCTTTCCGCCATAGCATACGATAGTGCAATTATCCCCAAGAGCATACATAGATCATAGAAAAATAATTAGGCAGTGATCAGTTATGAATATTTATCATCTCTATATTAATATATTTCACTGTAAATTTATATAATTTAATTTTTAATAGTGGCTGTGTTTAACAGCCAGCTCTCAAATTTCTGGAAAATTTAACAAGCAGCTCTTGCCACTGATACCACTGTTAGGAAACATCTGGAATGGTTCACATAAAACTGTTAATAGGGGTGACCAGTTAGCTCAGTTGGTTAGAAGTTGCTGGTTCGATCCCTGCATAGGCCACTGTGAGCTGCACCCTCCTTAAAAGAGTCAACTATGCTGTTGTAGCATAAAAGCAATGTGTAACCAATGACCATGGTTGTTCCCCAGTGGAAAAAAAAAAAGAAAGAAAAAAACTCAATAGTTGCTACCTCTGGAACAGGAGTTGGAGGTTAAGGGAGCGTTTTCATTTTTCAGTCATTCAATTCTATATTGTTTGATTTATTTTAAATAAACAATTTTGTATTATTCTTATAATAATCTTTAAAGTTTAAGAATACTATATTAGAAAGATGACTTAAATACCAGTTGTGTAAGGAGAAGGGAGATAGAAATATTTATTCACTTGTGCATATATAGTGGAGGCTAAACAAGAAACTAATAGAAAGCATCACCCAAAAGGAGCAATGGAAATTCAACCAATTGTTTTAATAGTTGAACCATATAAATGTATCATGTATTCAAAAAACTTTAATAGTTTAAAACACTTTTAAAAGGTCAACTGCCATCCCCGCCCCCCCCCGCCCCAGAAAGGGAGAAAATGTTTATTATTTATGATTATATACTGGAGACTCTTGTCTCTTTTAAGGACATGCTCCCATTGAAATGACAGACTTTTTCCTGGTTTCCACACAATACCTGGCCAGGGTGTCTTTAAAGTGACTCTGGCGGTGAGTCGTTGCTCAGGTATGCAGCTGCGTTAGCACTGGCCTCCAGACTCAGGTAGGACAGGGTACAATGGTTATAAACAAACAGCAGAATTTGGATGAAGACATTTTTTCCAGGTAGAAAATGGACGAGAGCCAGATATCCTTGATGCTCTCCCTTTTATTCCTCTGCGCTAATGTTGGGAAGGTGTGTTTGACCAGTAGAACAGGTGGTGTTTGTTTAAAGCTTGCTGAAACACAGGCACCTGACCTAAATCAAATGAGCAATTCTAAAGCCACTTCTTGGTTGTCAGAGAAAGAGCAGAAGCCAGCTTCCTGCGGTACAGCTACAGAAGCTACGGTGCTAAAGGCCTCACCCTGCTAGTCCAGCTGTGTCCGGTTTTCCCTATATAATGCAGACATCCGCTGTCTATCAAGACTGCTGGAACCAGGCAGAACCAAAAACAAGCAATTTCTCTGCCAGATCATGAATATTTGCTGTTGATCAAAATTATTGTTAAGGGTCTAATTTGAACTGAATGTGAATATGATTTACACATATGCATCTGTATTCTTCTTGAAAATCACACTAATAACATGGGAGAACGTTGGTTGCAAACAAGCCCTTGGCTGACTCTTAAAGAGGGAATGACAGCCCAGGCCTGTATCAGCCAGATCTTAAAAGGGCCTTTGAAAATATTCCTTGTAACATGGCCTCTCTGTAAGGGTGAGTAGTCTATCAGAACAAGCCCACAGGCCTGCTTTTATTTTTAATACTGTTAGCATAGAAATTCTGAAATTGCATTCATTGGTTTATACATATAAGGAGGAACACACAAAAATAAGTCACCTTAGAAGGAATGATAGAGTTACCAATTCACCTTTTTGTTCACATCCTAGAAATAATTGATTCAAGCAAGAATCATCAAGAAATGCCAAAATTATTTGGTGAAAGTTTCATGGGGAACAGGTGACTTGAATTTCAAACAATCTCCCCACAGATTACTTATTAATTACCAAGGGGAAACTGACAGTTTTATGGTACAGACACCTGGTGGCAATCACGTAAACAAGACATCAAAGTCATCACCGATGAATGGGACAAACTGACATGATGTGCCTCCTAGGTGAGGCACCGAGAAGGACACAACATCCCTTTCAGGGTATTCCTACCCAAAATGATCTGATTCTAACCATGAAAACCCATCAGGCAACCCAAGAGGAGAGAAATGCTACAAAGCAGCTGGTCTGTATTCTTCCGAAATGTGAAGGTCTTGAAAGACAAAGAACAGTGGAGGGATTGTTTCAGATTAAAGCGACATGACAACTGAATGCAATGTGAGGAGGAAGAAAGCTGCAGTAAAAGACATTAACGGAGCAATTGGCCAAATTTAAAGTGGACTTTATATTAGATAATAGTAGCATTGTATTGATGTGAAATTTCCTGCATTTGATCATTGTACTGTGGTTATGTAAGAGAATGCCCTTATTATAAAAGCGACCATCCGTGGAGCACCTAGAACGTAGCAGGTGCACATAATTCATTCAATCCTCACAGCAAGCCCACATTAGAGCCATTCCCTCCCCCACTTGGCAGATGAGAAAAGTGAAGCTCAGAGAAGTTATGAAGTGTATGCAAGGTTGCACAGCTAACAGGGAGGTGACCAGGAACAGGTGACATGTTTAGTGATGACAGCACGGCAGTGTGTCCTGTCTGTCAGCACTTGGAAGCCTGGATGAAGGGATGGAAAACATAGTCCTGAGTGGACTCAGGACTCAGGTGTGCAGGATGACTTCAGCAGGGCATGACGGGAGGAGGGTTAAAGTCTATGTGAAGTCGTTGATTAGGCGTGGAAGCCAAGTGGAGAAAAGAAAGGAAATGAGGTGGTGAGGAGGCAGGAAGTCTGAGGGGAATGGATGTCTTGATAAATATGACTGACTCACACTGAGAAAAACATTTTACATCACAGGCCAGTAAACACACACACACACACACTCCCACATAAATAACTGAAACAAGTTTGATTAAACAAGACTTACCCTTACCATGCAGGCCAGTCTAGTTGTTCCCATTCTGTTTCTCTTTAGTGATTTGTTTTGGCTTGTTCTTTTGTTGTTGTTTTGTATTCTGACAAGAATCAACTAAATTGATTTCCTGAAACTGGAAGGGGACACGGCCTGTGGTTTGAAAACCACACTCTAGGGTGTGGCCCAGCGAGGTGGCACTGGGGTCAGGGAGTAAAGGTTAGAGCGGCAGTCAGTGGTCTGGGTTGGAGCCATCTCCCTCAGCCTTCTTTTCCTAGCTAAGCCTAGGCCCCCCGCAGTTTTGTTCATCTGGTCCCGTGACCTAAAGCCTTACGTACCCTCACACACTAATGAAGCCTTCATTGGAATTGCGTGTGGTCAAAAGCGTGGCATTGGGGGCCAAAGTCACACCTGTCAAGCCAAACGGTGAAGAAATTTAGAACATACATAGACATCAACATACATAGGTGTCAGCTTCCAGGAGAGGAGGAGGAGAGAAAATAAATTACAACTGTTTCAAAGGAATATGGCTAAAAGTGTGGAGTAGCCAGTTCTTCATGTCTGACTTAGAGTCAATTGACCTCACCTCTTTCTAATCTGAAGAATGAATTCTTTGAAACTTGGGTTGAGGAACCAAAATAGGTTTACTTTTTGGTATCCATCTGGCCAGCTGGGAAACTTCATAACCTATTTCAGAAAAGCAGCACTGATTGGATGAAGATTCAAAACATTTGTTGCCACTGTGTTTGTTCTCGGTGCATATGTGTATTCATGCATCTCTGTTGTAACATGGGATTTTAAAGAGAGTCGGTGGGATCTGAGAGGAATACTTCAGGCTTCGAGAACTTATGTTTGGCTATATAAACTCATAGTGCTCTCATCTTCCTAACGCAAATTAACAATAATTTTTGAAATGACAAGTTCAGGTTGTATGTTACAATCCTTTCTTCAAATAACCCAGTTTATATTCTTTTTGCCTTTATTTTCTTTTTAATTTTCTGGACTGGCCTCTCCAACTACTTATAATAATATATATACTTATAGTCCCAGATGGTATTTTTCACTCGCCTTGAAGACATTTCAAATTACTGTACCAGCACGATTTTCTTTTATGACCACCCATGCTATTCATCTCTGTAATCACAGTAAACATATAACCGATCCCAAACCTTTGATGCTCCTTTCATTCCATGCCCCTTTGTTTGCACTCACTCATGGCTCCTATAAGTCTTTCCATATTAATCTTTATATCATGGAGAAACTTTCTGATTAATGCGAAGAAACTGCAATTGTCCTGTCTCCTTCCACAAGCCCAATGGTTCAGGAAAATGTCCCTGCCCTCAGCACTGATTACCAGCTCACCACTTCAACCATCGGGGTGCAATGCCTCTAGCAGAAGACTTATTGGTCACCATGCTAGTGGGTTGAGTGGTGGCCCCCCACAAGCCCTGTCCACGTCAAATCTGTGGACCTTGTGAATGTTAGCTGATTTGGAAAAGGACTTTTTAAGAATGTAGTTAAGAATCTCTAGGTGAGAGCATCCTGGATTTCCCAGGTGGGGCCCTAAATCCAATGACAAGTGTCCTTAGAAGAGACGGGAGGCAGAGGAGAAGACCACGTGAAGATGAAGGTGCACATTGGAGTTGTGCAGCCACAAGCCAAGGATTCCTGGAGCCACCAGAAGCTGGAAGAGGCGGGAAGGACCCTCCCCGAGAGTCTTTGGAGGGAGCATGACCTGCTGACACCTTGATGATAGACTTCTGGCCTCTGGAACTGTGAGAGAATGAATTACTGTAGTTGTAAGCCACCGAGTTTATGGCAGTTTGTTACAGCAGCCTTAGGAGACGATACATGATTGAAGATCAGCTTTTAATGTGCAAACCCTAGTATAAAGCACTGCAAACCTCAGAGATCCCACCAAAAAAAGAATGTGATTTTAACTATTTAAAATATATTAACCCTCTGTCCACACCGGCATAAAAATTGGTAGCAAATGAACATGGAAAGGGTTCACAATATGGAGGTGTTACAGCCTGTCTTATTGAAATGTAGACTAAGCAATACCAATAAAAGTATGATTTATTACCTTCTCATACTAGGTGAATGTTAACACCGATAATCTGCTTTTTTGATGACAAGTATGGACAGCTTCTTCTTTGCCCCTCCCTCCATACAGCTACAGCTGAACAGGAAATGGCTGCAAGCTGCCTCCTGTGGGCTGAGTTGACTTCTGATCTCTCCTAATTGCCTAAAGGTCATTTTCAAATTCCTGAGCCAGGCAGGGGGGCGGGGCTTCACAATCTGCTCCCAGTTTCTCTCCCAGCCCAATGTATTAGCTGGCAAAAACCGAGCTCGGTGAATGGTTGTTGGGTCAACGAACAGATCTATGGCTCATACTGTATATGGCTAGTCACTCACACAGCTCTGCCTCTTCCGTCAGGCTCAGGCGGATTCAGCTTCCTCCTATTCCCAGCAATTAGGCAAGAGCTCAGCACAGGGCAGGTGCTCAGTAAGGGTTGGCGAGTCAATAAAAAATGATTCTTCCCACCTCCTACGCAAGCCATCACTCTTTAGGTTGAAATAACTAGATGTTTCTCTCTCTCTCTCTCTCTCTCTCTCTCTCTCTCT